AAGTCCTAGCAAATTACCTCTCAGGACCCACACTTCTTCAGGCAATCATACCTTGCCACAGTCTCTTTTGTCCCAGGTAAATAAAATTTTCCTATGAGCAACTCCCCCTTGAGGCTAACCATTTGGCAACACCTAAGCAAATGGACCCGTGACCCGTTGTATCTGTTAACATCATCTCTTCATGTCCTTTGCCCACTGTTAACTTGGTTGTGTCAAGTTACTGCTGAATTTTAGAGCTCTTTATATTCTTTAGCTATAAGTCCCTTACAATATAGATGACTTGCAAATATGTTTTCTCATTTTATGGGTTATGTTTTTCACATTTTGGATGCTGTCCTTTGAAATTTAAAGGCATTATATTTTCTAAAAAAGATTTATTTATTTACTTGAAAGTCAAAGTTACACAGAGAGAGAAGGAGAGGAGAGGGAGAGAGAAAGAGAGAGCGTGAGGTCTTCCATCTGCTGGTACACTCCTCAGATGGCCATAATGGCCAGGCTGCACCGATCCGAAGCCAGGAGCCAGGAGCTTCTTCTGGGTCTCCCACGGGGGTGCAGGGGCCCAAGGACTTGGGCCATCTTCTATTGCCTTCCCAGGCCATAGCAGAGAGCTGGATTGGAAGTGGCACAGCCGGTACTTAAACCGGCTTACCGGCTATGCCACAGTGCCGGTCCCAGCATTAAATTTTTATAAAATCCAATTTAACTCTTTTTTTCTGTTGTTTGTGCTTTTATGTTTTATCTAAGAAGCCACTGCCCAATCCAAGGTCACAAAAGTTTAGTCCTTTTATAGTTTCAGATCTTATATTTAATGATTTGTTTTTAGTTTTTGTACATGGTGTGTGGTAGAGGTCTAATTTCATTCTTCGATATGTGGATATCCTTTCTTTTTTTTTTCTTTATACATTTTAAAAAATATTTGTTCTACTTATTTGAAAGGGAAAGATAGAAACAGAGACCTTCCATTCACTGGTTCACTCCCCAAATGCACACAACGGCCAAGGTGGGCCAAGCTGAAGCCAGGAAACTGGGACTCAATCCAGGTCTCTCACGTGGGTGACAAGAGTCCAGGCACTCGAGCCATCGCATGCTGCTTCCCCGTGTGCACACTAGCAGGAAGCTGAAGTCAGGAGCAGAGCGCTGGGCTTGAACCCAAGCTTTCCAATATGGGATGCAGGCGTCCCGAGCCGCATCTTAGCTACCGCACACAGGATGCAGGCGTCCCGAGCCGCATCTTAGCTACCGCACACGGGATGCAGGCGTCCCAAGCCGCGTCTTAGCCACTGCACCAAAGGCCCTCCTCTGATGTTTTAAATACGAGCCTCCTACATTAGATAGCTGTTTCTGCACAGATTGTGACGTGGAGTACGTATCTGTAAGTCTGCCTCAGTGCCTTTCTTGCTACCACGCTTGTGTGAGTGTGTGTGAACATTTCTCAGTATCTCCCGACGTTCGAACTTAGAAGGGAAACCAAGAATCATCCAGCACGGCTTCCTACAAAAACTTTCTGTTCCCAAAGCAGTAAATGCAAGGAGTGCACTTCTTTCTCCTGGAAGCAGAGCTTTCCGTGTTATCTCAGAGCCTTCTTTGGTCTGGGTGAGAGCAGCCCAGTTCCAAGCAGTTCTCCTTGCTTCTCAGTTTGCCAGTCCGTTCTGTGCTACCGACAAGGACTGCTACTTCTAGTATAAAAAAAAAAAAAAGTGGCTCTGCAACGTTCCTCTCCTTCTCACGTCCCACCCCCCCTCCTTGATTTCTAAGGGCTCCCTAGTTTTATCAGAGCGTTCCCCACTCAGACAATCTCCAAGCCAAAGACCAAATTCTGCTCACCTAGCATTGCACAGGAATAATTCGATACATTTCATTTGGCTGACCTTATATTGCAACTTTAAGCACCTCCGCCCTGCATTTATACTCATACAAACCCTCTCTTAGTTTCTCCTGCTGCCAACCTGGCTCCTGCTTCCAAACGCAGGGATTACATTGTATATGAATCTTGAAGAAATCACCTTTTAAAGCACAAAGCCAGCACAGAGAAACAGCCGAAGTGGACCCGAGGATTACCAAGCCCCAGCGCTGCATGTGACGGCAGATCTGCGAGGTGTCGGACGGTCTACATCGAAGTCCAGTGCTTGGAACCTTATTTGGATATTGCTGCTTTCAAAGCTTGAGCTGTTCTTCCAAACACTGGAGTTCTCGGCTCCTTTTCAGTATGATGTAAGTACCACAAGTATTGCATTGTCTTAGAGATTCCAGTGGGGGGTTGCCGATAAAATTCTACATTAGAATGCACTGGAAAATCTTAGGTGGAAGCAAGCATTTGAGAAATGCACTTAAAGGTCTCACTTGATGAACCAGAAAAAAAAAAAAAAATCCCAGTGTCAGAGATTTGAGTCTGACTCCTCTTTCATCTTCAAGGCAAGCAGCAGCTTGAAATATTGACAAAGAAGGCCCTGAGGGACCAGCAGTACCATCCTGATCTAAATATCTCTCCAGGGAGACCCAGGCGAGGGTCTGTCTCCTGTGAGTTGGACATTGTTCACACAGAATCTGCAGGCATTCCAAAAGCTAGAAAGATCTCTTATAAAGCTGTGATTAAACAACTTCAAATTTTTAGAAATGAGGCGGTATTACAATATTAAAATTCCACGCCCTCTCTGTTGTAGAAGTGGATTAAGGCTGGCCCAGGGGTCAGAGCATAGGCACTATGGCAGCAGATTGTTCAGAAAGTAACTCCTGCTGGTGAGGAAAGAACTAGAATGTGGATCCTGAACATTAAAAGGGTCTGTGAGCCATGACAGTTAGCGTCAACAGCTTTTGAGGGGAAGGTGATCTTCAGAAAGGACATGGGTATTTGGTCCTATACAGGCATGCTGGAGAAGCTGTAGTTATTCTATGTCATTTATATTACACTAACTCTCCACCCCACCCCTCTAAATGCCGGAGCCCGTCTCTTTTTCGGTTTTGTGCCACTTATAATTTAGGCTACCTCATAGTATATGCATCCTTATGTGTAGCTATAAATCTTTTGGGCATAGGGTGGGAGAAATAAATATGTACATTGGAAAGTGGGGATTTCCCCATCAATGAGACAGCCCCAGTGGGACAGACAGGCTGTCTGACATTTGTGTTGATTTGATACCAGCATGTTTTCCATGTTCTTTGTGCCAAGCTACTTGGATATTTGCAGACAGTGCAAAAATTTGAAGTCCTTGCTCTCAACTCGAGTTTTATTTTGGGGCTACTAACCCACAAAAGGAAATCCCCGAAATTCCTGTCCAGCGGCTGCTGCAAGCATCTATCCTCGTGAGTGTCTACAAAGACGCTGCGATGCTGCCTCCAGTTCTAGGTATGACCTGGATGCAAAGTCAGGTGGTTTGTAGCAAATAAATAGCAGTACCAAGTGGGCTCAGCTTCTGAACAGTTTTGCTGTATTTCCCTGCTGCCTTTTTCTTTTGAATATATTTGCTCTCGATTTTACAGTCGCATGTAGTTTTTTTTTTTTTAAACCCTCGCAAGGCATTTTCTATTTTATTAAAAACATTTTCCTGTTTATTTTCAACAGCACAATTCACATAAACACTCCCTCCTTATCGCTTCCAAAGGAAGGATCTGGAACATCCTTCAGTAGAAATAACCGGGGAGTGCAGGGGCAGAGCCTGCAGGCATGTCTCTCCATGACGACGACGCTGTAACCCCACAGTGGTTCCCTCTACTTTTTGGTGACAAACCTCTGGCATCCGACTCAGCATCGCTGCGTTCACTCCTTTTTGGGTTCCAGTCCTTTCTCAAGGCTCTCACCTCCTGGCCCAGAGGTGTCGATGAACCAAAGTGTGTTTTGTTTTTGTCTGGCGGGTTTCCCTTCGAAGTGTTTGGAAAGCCATGAGGCTTTGCAAACCGGGAGCCTTCGTAGCGGATCTTACCCGAGGCTTCCTGACCTATATATTTTGAGCCGTGCACTGGCCAGCGAAGCGGTTTCCCTGGTTCGCTGTTTGTGCACAGAGTTCCCTCGGGATCGAGGTCGGCACAGGGGGCAGGGGGAGGCAGGGAGGCCGGAGGCCGGCGTTGCACCTTCCGTGCAGTCTTCCCTGGCCCTGCAGGAGCCACCGCAGGGCCTTCGCGGTGCGGTGCAGGACCCATCTTCGTAACAGGCGGCTGGTTCTCAAGCTGTCCAGATTCGCACCGGAGACTGGACAGGCCGGGGACACGCTTTGGCACCAAGGGTTTTCCCTGCCCTCAGCCCGAGCGAGGGGGCCCGCCCGCCACTCGCCCCGGGCTGCAGCTTCCCAATGGGTTAAGGCCTCGTGCAAACTCCCGGGGTCCCGTGGGAGTCGCTGACCGTGCCGGTCACCCATGGCACAGCGACGTTTGTGGCTCGCCTCCCCCACCCCGGGTTTTCTCCTCCTGTCGCGGCATGTTCGTGGAGCCGGCTTGGGCGCTCACTTTTTAAAGTTTTTACATCCCCAACTCGGCCCGCCGGCTCCCGGGAAGCGGCGCCCCTCACCGCCCCGGGACTCTGGGGCGCGTTCCAGGCCTGGGGAGGAAGCGGCAGGACTTTGTTCCCCGAAATCTGACGGCTCTGGGGATTCCCTGCGGCCACTTCGCCGCGCCGAGCCCCATCCTCCGGGCGGCCGCCGGCTCCCTCACGCCGCGGCCTCCGGCTGGCGGAGGCGCGGCCCGGACTCCCCCTCCTCAGGTCCCGCCGCCGAGAGCCCGGATGTTGGATTCCATCCCTGCGCCTGGTCCTTCATTTCCATAAAAGGGCAGCGCTCGGCGGGGCTGAGGTTGCCACCGCCGCCGCCGGCGCCCCCCGCCGCCCCCCGCCGCCCCGCCCCCAGCCCGGAGTCCGCGGCCCCCGCCCGGAGCGCAGCCGCGGGGAGGGCTGTGGAGGGGCCGAGGTCGGCCCCAGGCGCTCCGGGCCGCTCTGCGGGGAGGAGGAGGAGGAGGAGGAGGAGGGAGCCGGCGAGCCCAGCCCGGACCGGACGGGCTGAGGGGGCGGGGAGAGAGGGGTGGAGCGCGCGGAGCCAGGCTGGGGGCCGCGGCGCCGGGACTCCATTAGCGGCTCCGGCCAGGAGGCAGAGCTGAGCCGGCTGCGGAGCGGGACGCGGACGCCGCCCCCGCGCCTGTTGCGGGCGAGCCCCGGGCCGGGAGCGCGAGGAGCGCGCGGTGAGGGGCCTGGACGGGGCTGCAATCTGCAGGGGAGCGCGGGTGGGGACGAAGACTGTGGAGCCCCCGGGCAGCGTCTCCCCGGGCCGGGCGCGGCCGGGCGCGGCCGGGCGGCAGGCAGGGGACGCCGCTGCTGCGCTCCGCTAGGCGGGGGCGGCGTGGGGCGGGCGGGGCCGCGGCCGCTCGGGGCCGTGGCGGGGCGGGAGCGCGGAGCGCCCAGTGCGGCTCCGCGGTGCTCCCGAGTTTGCGCGGGAGCCCCCCACCCGCACACACACACCGGGTCCTCCGGCTTCCCCTGCCCGGCGGCCGACGCCGCGAGCACGGTGGGCTTTGCCTTCGTTTGGGGGAGTGACGCTTACGAGAGCCATTTCCTCCGCGCGCGCAGGAAGGAGCCATGGCTCTGGACGGGATAAGGATGCCAGATGGCTGCTACGCGGACGGGACGTGGGAGCTGAGCGTGCATGTGACGGACCTGAACCGCGATGTCACCCTGAGAGTGACCGGAGAGGTGCACATCGGAGGGGTGATGCTGAAGTTGGTGGAAAAGCTGGGTGAGTAGCATCCCGGAGGCGTCCGGGAAGCGACTGGCGGGGTGGGGGAGGGGTGGGAGGGAGGCGGCGCGGGGGGGAGGGGCGGGTGTGGAAATCTTGGCGTCTCTTGGATACTTAAAAAAAAAAAAAAGTGAGATCTGTCAATATTTAAGCGAACCGACGCGGTTCCCTTGGCGTTTTGTTTGGCTAGCTCTGAATTTTCGGAATGTGGTGCTTGGAGCCCCTACTTAGAGACTTCATTGCGTAGTTGGGCTGGGGGCGGGGAGCTCCTTGATTCTTTGCATTCGCCGGCTTCACGTGGAAAGAAATGGGCAGGGTCTGCAGGGTGGCGGTGCGGGGCGTGTGGTTACCCATGTCTGGCGTGTTGGCGACGCTTGGCATCGGGAGTAACGCGAAATCCACGTTAGAAAGCCGCCCCCCACCCGGGGAGATAGGCGGGTGCTGGCGTCGCTGGGCAGTGGCGGTGGCCCGGCCGGCCGTGCGCCCCTGCGAGGGGTGGGCAGCGGCCGAGCGACTTGGAGTCCCCACCCGGTGCTCCAGCGCGGCTATTCGGAGCATTCGGTTTTACATTAACGAGCCAGTGGGAGAACCGTGTTCAGAAGCAGACGGGAAGGCTGCTTGGGGGTTGACAGTGTTCGCCCGAGTCCAGTCCCTGCCGGGTGGCCCAGGTTGAAGGCAGGGTCTCTGACAGCATGAAACTGGAGGAGGTTTCCCAGTGCGCGTTCTGTCTGCCATGAAGGAAACCGTTTTCCGCGGTAGCTAAACAGCTGGTGTTCAGAAGAGACTTCCCCAGTTTTCCATATCATGCACTTGTGGTCAGGTCTTTGTAGGTTGGGTTTTTCACTTTGAGGGTGTGTGTTTTTGTGTTTTTGGCTTTTTTTTTTTTTTCTAAACCACACTGCCAAAGTGGAGAAGCATTGATTAGGAAATGTGTTTCTTACCAAGGGAGCCTTGCGTCCCTACCATATAAACTTACTGCAGTAGCACTCTGGGGCGCTGTGCCCAATACGGCAGGGTTCACAGGAGCACCCGCCTTGTGGCTTTGCAGAAGTTTCCTTATGCACAGACCCGAGAGAAGCACCTCACAAGGTTGCCTCTGTGCTGTTTACCTGCCTGAGACAGGGCCCGGAACCCTCCCCCACCCCCAGCCCTTTGGCAGCTAGATTTTGCTGTATTGTTTGTTTAACCAGTCCGCTCTCTGTGGGTTAACAGTGTTTTTTGTATGATTTGAGTAAATCGATGACTCTTTGCAAAGTGTCCATGGATCAGTTCAGCACTGGTATGAGGGCTGAAATATCACCAAATATAATTGTCCGTGTGTCCTCTGTTTTCAAGGGAAAGAGCGTTTGTGTCAGAGCTTGCCTTGTTTGTGATAAGTGGACCTCACTAATAACGTGGGTTTCAATAGGCGGTTTCTTTCACGTTGCGTGGAAGGAGCTGTTGAAGGTGACTGAGGCAACCTGTAGTTCTCCAGAGCCAGGCTTTTTTTTTTTTTTTTTTAATTTATTTTATTTATTTGAAAGGCAGAGTTACAGAGAGAGGGAGAGACAGACAGAGAGGTCTCCCATCCACTGGTTCACTCCCCAAATGGCTGCAACTGCCAGAGCTGGGCCAGGCCAGAGCCAGGAGCTTCATCCGGGTCCCTCATGTGGGTGCCAGGAGCTTCCTGGGTCTCCCATGTACGTGCAGGGGCCCAAGCACTTGGGCCATCTTCCACTGCTTTCCCAGGCACATTAGCAGGGAGCTGTATCGGAAGTAGAGCAGCCAGCACTTGAACTGCTTCGATAAGGGATGCTGGTTCTTCAGGCAGTGGCTTAACTTGCTATGCTACAATGCAGGCCCAAAAGTCAGGCTTTAACTAATGAATAAATAATGGTCTTACTATATATGTATTGCATTGATTAGAATCGTCTATTACAGTCAGTCATAAATAGAACTATAGAGAATAAACTATTTGCCATCAGAATTGATGTGTTAATTTAAGTGCTGCATATCTTAATCTTTTAATGCTGATGCACTTCTAATTTCTTAAACAGAGAAGTCTAAACAAGATAGAAAATGTTGTGCATATGGAAAACTTGCCTCTTCCTTTAATTTAACCAATCCTGATCCCTCTGAGACTTGAGCCCAGGAGAGTACTTCCTGACTTTCCTGTTTGTAAAAGTAGAGCTAAATGATTTCTTGCACCCTGGTTTTTAGAATGAGGTATTTTGAATGGCAAGCTGTTTTGTTAACTGTTGGCCAGGAGATAGAGGAGAAATTGAGCGAGACAGCATTTAAGACAGTTGTGAATCCGGAGAGAACTCCAGTTTGTCAGAGTTACCTGGACACTGGAAGGCCAGGCTGTGTCATGGAAGGTGTCAAAGGGTAGACTGATGGCTGCGTGTCTGCAGTGGCAAGCCCCTCGCAGAGTCCAGATGAGTGGCGGAGACGGTGGAAGGGCTGAGAGGCACAGGTGTGGCGTCTCAGGATTGCAGCGCAGTGGGGCACAGTGAGCTGTGGCAGGGCAGCGCTCGCCCACGTCGCCCAGCTCCAGACTGCTTGGCGGATGCTCTCCTCGGGCTCCCCTGATGTGGAGGTGGCAGCACTTAATTCCCTGGAGTTGACAGATCCTGGCGTGAGCCCCTCCCTCAGCGCTGCATTGCAATATTTTGTGCAGGTGTGGAAGTTTCTGGACAGGGGCTTCTTGGCTTTCATTAGATGCCCAGAGAAGCCTGTAAGCAGGAGTTTATGACACAGCTGTACAGTCTGGCCCTGAGTGTGAGCTTCATTGTGCTGCTTTGGTGTTCACCCCCGAGTGGGCACTTCAGTTAGGCAAGGTACAAATGTCCATAGTGCTTTCTTGGCTTGTCAGCCGTGTCCAGTTTCAGGGCAGGTCACTAAAACATGACTCAGGTTTCTGACTTCAATTCGGAAATCTGAAAGACTGATTTTAAATCTTTGTGTAAAATATATTTGTTCTACTATATTAGTCTTTTTAAAGAAAATAGTGTATTCCATGAAGTGAGCTTTTGGGAATTACATCCTGATGTGATAGAAACTTTGATTGATCCTTCCATGTTTATATCTCATCCTGAAAGAGAGAAATTAGTATTCCTACCCTTCTGTTTTTTAAAATTCGAATTGAAAGCTTTAAATAGAATTTTTAAAATTTACTGTATTTGGGGCCAGCGCTGTGGCTCAGCGGGTTAACACCCTGGCCTGAAGCGCTGGTATCCCATATGGGCGCCAGTTCAAGACCCGGCTGCTCCACTTCCAATCCAGCTCTCTGCTATGGCCTGGGAAAACAGTAGAAGATGGCCCAAGTCCTTAGGCCCCTGCACCCACGTGGGAGACCTGGGAGAAGCTCCTGGCTCCTGGCTCCTGGCTTCGGATTGGCTCAGCTCCGGCCATTGCAGCCAATTGGGGAGTGAACCGTCCGATGGAAGATCTCTCTCTCTCTCTCTCTCTCTCTCTCTCTCTCCCCCGCCGCCTCTCCTCTCTCTGTGTAACTCTGACTTTCTAATAAATAAATAAAAATAGATAAATCTTTAAAAAAAAAATTTACTGTATTTTTTAAACAAGTGTCAAATATGTATAGTTTTTTTTTTAAAGAAAATGTTAAGATGTAAAACACCAAGGATAAGGATTATTAAAAGACATCAGAGAATAAGACTGCAGGAGAATTGTATTAAACACATGGTGTAAAGAAGAGGCCCAGCTTTGTGAGATCCTGCGGCGTGAGAAGGTTGAGAGAACCACCGTGCTCAGTGGGACTCAGCTTAGTGAGCAGCGAGGGTTCAGAGATGAGCTGAGAATGTGAGGAGTCACGGAGGTGCTGAGCAGTAATAGGTTTGCTGCATTTTAATCCCTTGATAAAAATTACCTTTTTATGACTTCTGCATACAATTAAGTTTTTAGCTTTCTGTAAAGCGCATTTCAGATGGAAGGTAAGGATTTTACTGTAATGCAGAGCTCCCTGAATGGAAGTCCACGGCTGCCAGCCTCCATGTGCTTAGAGAAGTACTCTGACTGCTCGGATTCTTGGAGGAGGAGGCATGCAGAAATCGTGTTGGATTAGAAATAATCCAGAGGAGAAAACATGAGTTGAGGACTCAGGAGGAACTAGAAAGAAGTGCATGGATTAGCAAACTTGAGGATTTTGTTTCTGAACTTGAGCTTTAGAAGGAAATCACCTCTGCTTTAAAGTGCGGGTGCAGCGCATTCGTGTTAGAGTTGCATGTTGGGATTGCATTAGCTTGCAACGTTGGTAAAATGAGCACACATGTTTCAGAAAAGAAAGAGGTTTGAAGTTATCATTGAAGATTCCTTAAAGGGGCCCTGGTGTTGCAGTGCAGCTGCAACATCACAGTTACCAGGTGCTGATTTGAGTCCTGGCAGCTCCACTTTTTTTTTTTTTTTTTTTTTTGACAGGCAGAGTAGACAGTGAGAGAGAGAGAAAGGTCTTCCTTTTCTGTTGGTTCACCCCCCAATGGCTGCTGTGGCCAGCCTGCAGCTGGTGCACCGCACTGATCCGAAGGCAGGAGCCAGGTGCTTCTCCTGGTCTCCCATGGGGTGCAGAGCCCAAGCACCTGGGCCATCCTCCACTGCACTCCCGGGCCACAGCAGAGAGCTGGCCTGGAAGAGGAGCAGCTCCACTTCTAATCCAGCTCTCTGCTGATGGGACTGGGAAGGCAACAACAGATGCCCCAGGTGCGTGAGTCCCTGCCATCCATGTGGGAGACCAGGATGAAATTCCTGGCTCCTGGCTCCAGCCTGGCCCAACACTGGCTGTTGAGGCCATTTGAGGAGTGACCCGGTGAGGGAAGATCTTTGTCTCACCTTCTGTGTCTGCTGCTCTGCCTTTCAAATAAATAAATAGATCTTTGGAAACATTATTTTTTAAAAAAATCCCTTATGGATTGCATTCATCTTATCTCACAGAGGTGCAGAATAGCAATTTTTCTTCTAGGAACTCACTTCAAAAGTAAGTTTCTAACGTTGAGTACCAGATGAAGGTG